ACCTGGAAACTCGAAATGATCGTATCTCCAGAGGAGTCCGGTTTCAAATCTACCGTACACACGAACAGTGGTATTGGCTAGAATCATCCTTGCTCTCGTGTCCTCCGCTGATTCCAGTTTCATCATCGGCTTGGTTCCTGTATCTTCCTGCTCGAAATACTGCTTGACTACCTCGTGAAGATCCATTTCTGGCTGAACTTCCGAGATATGGCAACTAACTCCTACGGACTTCGCATTATTACCTTCGTCGAATACGCACCATCCGAGTCGCGTTTTTGTGGCTACTGGTTCGCCTTTGTGCCCTTCTCGGCATTTCAGCGGCATTGACAACACAGCAAAATTTTTTTTGATATCACATCAAAGTGGATGCACTTCAATCGTGTCAAAAATATGGAGTAATATTATTTGCCAAAAAGAGCAAAATTATCAAATACAGTGCATGAACTGACATTACGCTGCTTTTACTGCATTTGTTTATTTTTGTGGCCATAAAAAATACATTAGGTTTTCGACGTGATTGAAGTGCATCCTCTTGGATCCTTTGGTTTGTTTTTTTCCGTCGATCTTGTTTTCCGTGCTGAGCACCAATGCTACCGACGTGCCAGGAAGGCAGCTCCCACACCTGGACCCTACCTATCGACCCATCAACTCATGAACCGGGGACCAACAGCTTTACTCCCATCCGAAGGAAGGCGTGATCAGAGATGTTATGCCTCAGAACATCCCGGCGGCGCCGACTGGGATTGAACCCAGGCCTGCTGGGGTGAGAGGTAATCACGCTTACCACTACACCACCGGCGCCGTTGTCCTCTTGGATGTAATATTAAAATTATTATTTTTTTGCTGTGAAGTTCAACTGGTCCAAACCAATAAGCATGTGCGGCACGGCGTCTTCGTATCGAGCTATCGGTAATCCTTTGAGGTGAGTGTATTGCAGCGAAAGTTGTTCAGGCTTCAGCGACTGTATTGGAAGGTTCTACTCAGATACTGTTCTAGCTGACTTGACTTGGAAAGATTTCCCACTAGATACTCCTGAAATGTGGTATGATATTTCTTGGGAATCTACTTCACACCGGGTTACATTGCTGGTCAAATTTAGGTGCAAGGCTCCCAATCGCTCAGCTACCGATTTTTCCACGAATGTTAGTGAAGAACCATTGTCCAAGAAAGCGAATGTGCTAACACTTCCACTTCTTCCCGTCAGAGTTACGGGAACGACTCGGAACAACGTTTTCGATTCTTGATCTCGATGCGAATGGTTTTCGGAAGTAACTGGCTTGACCTTGTTTTCCGTTTGGGAGTGTAACAGCGGATGGTGCTTAAACTCACACCCATCAATCCCACACTTCGTAGACAATCGACAACGATTCCTCCCGTCCTGGTTGAGATAATTCCGGCAAAGCTTCAAGCTGTGTATTCTTCGCCAACGATTTTCTATGTTGAGTTCTAAAAATTGCTTGCACCCCTTGACTCGATGATCCGGTTGACTACAGACTGCGCAATTCCGACCTGCAGAATCTGGATTAAAGTGGCCACCAGATGTAATTTCTACACTGTTCAAACTGTGAGTGTACACCCCCGCTTTCTCCTTTTGCGTTCCTCTTTTGTGATCGCTTGTCCGACGGTCACTAGAGCAATGAACTAATTTGGTCACTTGGCTCGCCGCAGTAACCATTTGTGACATGTACGTTGCGAAGGTCTGCAGCGTCACATCAGTCACGGTTTGTTTATGGATCGCCCATTGAAGTTTCAGCTGTGAAGGTAGCTTGTCTTCTACACGGCGAATGAGAACGACCCCAATTTGAGTTTAGTTCACTCATAATCACCAAAAGTGCAGGAACTCAGCGATGAGTAAATTTGCCTCATGTTTTCTCAGGTTTTTCCAGGATTTTCCAGGGAAAAATTCCCGAATTTGAGAAAAGTAAAAAATTGGATTCACTCACTCCATTGGTACTACTCCGAGACTGAATAAAATTTTCGTCAATTTCCAAAGACCAAAAACCATGAGACAAATTTACTCATCGCTGAGTTCCTGCGCTTTTCGCGATTATGAGTGAACTAAACTCAAATTTGGGTCGTTCTCATTCGCCGTGTAGCTCCTGTAACAACGAGGGATTGTTTAAATGAGCTATTTCTCCCGCAGCTACTAAGTGATCGCAGAGCCCCTGCAGTTCCTTCCCGAACTCAATCAGCGTCTTAAGGCGTTTCATCTTCGGCGCGGGTGCAGAACGCATTCTGTTCAACAGAGCATTTATGAGTAACCCGGTTCGCCCGTAGAGCATCTTGAGCGTAGTTATTACTTGAAGGACCGATGCGGGAAGAAGTAATCGACTGCGGACCGATTCTCGAGCATGGCCCTTCAGGCATCGTTGCAGCCGAACAAGGTTCTCGGCATCGCTGTGGTGATGTTGTACTGGCTAATAAATATGGGCCAGTCTTCAGGTTTCCTATCAAAATCTGGGAGATCCCGTGACATCACCCGACGAGCTGCAATTTGCACTGAAGAGGGTCCCTGTCCGTATGCTAAAGTTTCATCTTCCGTATACGGTGTTGGACCAGCTCGGGGATTTGCATATCTCACGTTCGCTCGTGGCGGTATTTGCGACGCAGACGTATCTTGGCCAATAATATCCAGAGGCTGGGAATTTCGTACTGATGACTGTGCACGTCTAACTCTGTCAACACCGTGGTTAATACGAGAGGGAAGGTCAGCTTCCACCTCAGAAGGAACGTACTCGAAAGACAATGGCTGAAAATGATACTGACGTTCTCATCCGTAGCGTTGCTGGGGGGAACTGATGGCACTACTGGGGTAGTTAACCTTACACGTGATTGTCGATGAAGAAGAGTCGCTGATGGTTTGTACGGTACGAGTTTCTTATTTACCGGAGCGGATGCAAGATTTTGAGAATACATACGGCTACTCGAAGCAATATGCTGTTGAAGTGTCATAGGTTGGTTGACTGCTGAACGTGACGAAACTAAATTTCTGCTGCGAGAGTGTTCGCCCTGGAGAGCGATTTCCGGATTTGGTGCCATCACGGTTTCATTTGGTGTACTGGCTTTAGGCTCCTTTAATCCGTCATTCCTCATCCAGTCGATAATTTTCTCCCGGCTAACACGACAGCGACTCCTATTACTTACAACGCTCTTTTCATCGTTTGCGTCTTGTTCCGCCAACAAAGCGTACTTCTCATTAAGGAAGGTCATCTCCATCTCTTCTTCTTCCACTATCCACCTTTTCTCTCGGTCAATCAGCTCCTTCTCAAGATCCATTTCCTTCAGGAATCGATTACGGTGGATTTGCTGATCCTCCTCCAATCGCTGCTGCGCCAGCGACTTAGTGATGGTGTTTCGGGTTGATTGGCTGCTGACACATTGGTATACAATCGCTACACGCCCAGTGGCAGATTTCGACAGACGCATTTAAAATGGTACCAACCTTCGCATTGAACCATGTCGTCAACCTAGTCCGGTTGATCACAGGCCAAGCAAGCACTAGCATAGTTGTTTGAGGCAGTGTTGTTGTTATTGGCCATCTCAGTAAATTCTTGAGGTTTGTTCCCCGAACAAATTGCACTACACTTTCTTTTAGCGGTGGACACTATCGGTTCCAGATCAGCTCAAGCTGGAATATTTATTTATTGTTTAGTGCGTGCACGTTTTAACTAATTAAGGTAGATCATCTTACAATTTAGTGTAGGCTTCGTAGTTTTAGATTAGATCTTCTTTGATTTCCACTTGTAGGGTATAGTTTAAGATTTAGCAGTTCCGATTTAGAAGTTCCGTAATTAAGAATCCGTAAAATCACGATTGTTCAATAATTGCCTGTTTGGATCAATTTTGGGTTTAGTTCAGCATAGAAATAGAATAATCAATTTATATCTTACGTTTATAGATTAGGTCGTTCTGTATGTAAATAAGAACTAGTATTAGGAAATTACTTGTTGAATAATTAATTTGAACAAATTTTAGAGGTATTTTTCAATTAAATTAACGTATTTGTATATAAGACACCAGTCCACCGGTGAATCCACTTTAAGTTCGCCGTTCACACGCGCTTTTTCCTTTACCTCCTTTTACCTGTCAGTCATCACTCCTGTCATCATCCGCCGCTGTCAAGGTCCACCGGTGCTATCGGTTAGATGACCAGCGTTGCTAGTTAGCGTAGCAACATATACTCTTGCCACCTGGTGTGAGAATTCAGAACTGAGCTGTCCCCTATAAAATGATAGGTCATGTTGACAGCAATCTTCTATCTAGTCGAGATGTCGACTTAAGTATCCCATCAGTATCAAATAGTGGTTAGTATTTTTGTCGAATGATATACGATAGGTCTTGTCACTCAGAACAACTTCAGTAGGCAGCAAATGATAAAATAAATAAATAAATCAATATATATAACACTTTAATCAATGGAAACATAAATAAATTTTACTGCTACTAAATTTATTTTCATACCACACTCACACAAACAAAACTTAAAATCCCGACAGACAGACAGCAGCAGTGCAATTTATTGCTATTTTCACGTTTTACTTGAAATGGCAGTTACGAGTTGTGTTCTTGAACTTCATTTAATTAAAATTAAGATTTAAATGGAAACCATGCAAAAATCGTATAAAAGTCCCTGCAATTACTATCAATTCCATCTCAACACAGACCAAACATGGACATGAAACTCAGAAAGTGAAGCAACCTATCGATAGCGATACAACCTATCGGCTTGATTCAAATCACATTATCCGTTTCAAGCCAAAGGTAATTGAAAAGCATACTTAAAAAATAATCATAATTTTTAGTGTAAATAAAGACATTTTTAAAATATGTCCATATGTAATTACGAATGACATCTAACTCATTTTTTTTAAAATTTGTTTGCATGTGAACAATCAATATATTGGTAGTATTTTTTACACTATACAAATCCTCCGTGTAAAAAATGACCTGAGTGTACGCTTTTGCCTGCAGAGCCGTGCATGCAAAGAAAGCCTGTCCACTGATTCAACTGCCTCCTCCAGATGGTCCTTCGATTTCCACCTCATCACCATCCCTCTTCCAGCGTATTCCTTTCACTCGGGCCGGATGTGGCATAGAGTAGCGTAGTTTAGGCCAAAACCATGGATCACCCCACCTAATGTAGGTGTTGGTCTTGAGGTAGGCCTTCATCTCCGAATCGATCCGGTCTTCGTCACCCAAATCCCCGTAGATCACGATTATCACCCGTATCCGTTTCTCCGCCATCGAATTCACGTGAGCCGTTCGGAACTCCAGCTGGCCCCAACTCGATTCCAAAAAGTCCTTGGACAGGACGACGATCGTACGGCGGGAATTTTCGATCGATTGCACTATCTGTAATAAACCGTACAACAATTATTATACTGAGACTCCCCAAAGCAAACTTGTTGTTACCTGAGTGGTGATCACTTCACCCGGGCTCCAATCGCGCATGTGCCAGCATACCTTCAGATTCATGGGAGCGTTTTCCAATCGTGGCACCAATGTCGTACTGACAAATTCCTCATCCTGATGGCAATAGGAAACGAATGCATCGTACAGCTTATCCTTGTCGATTTCTTCTTCGGTCACCAGACTCAAGCAGAAATTGTTTGTAAATAGCCAAATCTTAATTTCGATTTGGTATACATAACAAGCAAAACTTGCTGCCAAAGTAAAAATGATAAAGAGGCATGCTATTACGATGGCAGTAGCGACCGTGCTTGCTGCACACACGTCACTGACGGTGAGCAGATTGAAGTCGCGATCATCCGAGCAACGCATATACTTGCTATCCACAATTCGATCCGTTGAGTTCTGAATGAATTTCAGTTGATCGATCGACTTGCAATCGCACTGCCAATGATTAAACGATAGATTAACGCTCTGGAGATTGTCACTGGAGTTCAGTAGGTGCGTTAGTTGTAGCAAACAGCTGAGATTGTTGTTCGATAAGTCCAAAACTCGAACGTTGGGAAAGAGATTCGCGGTCAGATTCTGCATCTGATTATGACTCGCATAAAATTGTATTACTTTCTCGTAACCTAGCCTGTTTTGCAACGACATTGTCCGAATACTGTTGTTTCTCACAGATAACTCCACGTACTTGAAGCTCCGACTTACATTGTGCAGAATCGGTAGTTCCGTAAGATTCCGTTCATCGCAATTCACCAGCACCGATTCATTGTTCCACCGTACAAAACAGCGGCAGCCTTCCGGGCAATGCTCTTCCCGTTGGCAAATCAGATTGACAACATTAACCTTAACCACGTTGATGTCCCGGTTGACCTCCGGTTCACGGCAACGAAGATGATCGACCGTGAATCGCCACCGCCGGTAGACGTGTCCAGTCATTTGAAGAAATCGTACAAATGAAGCTATCCGACAATCGCAGTTCACCGGATTGTGGTTTAGCTTGAATAAAACGAAGCCTCCGCTACCCTTCGTCGCATCCGATGCCAACAGCGAGAGCATCGTTATTTGATTATGCTCCAGGTTCACCACCATCTGATTGGACGTTAACTTAAAATCCTCATTGTCAAACTTGGACAGCCGGTTGTGACTTAGGTCCAGCTCCCTAAGCTCCGGAGATTCAATCCAAGCAATGTTCATACGATCGATGCTGTTATTCCGTAGGTTAAGCTCGCGAAGCTGTGCTCTTACTGGCCAGAACGGAGAACGGGAGCCTTCTTGGAAATCGTAAACGCTGCGGTACAGGGATCCGGCGAACCACAGACGGTTGTTTTGCAAGTACAGAAAGATGACGTAGGGACTGTGCTCGAAGACATCGGGATCCAGCGAACCTAGCTGATTGTTGCTCACATCCAGCGAGATGAGTTTCTGTAACGAGTGGAATATTTTGCTGCAATGAATGCTGGGTTATTAGTTTTGCTTGGATGTTTGCAAAAGGTGTGGACAAATTATAAGAGTGATTACGGAATTATCAAAACATAGAAAATAATCGTATTACATTTATTTCGATCAATGAATTGCGCATGTCTTTTCTGATACAAAATGATTAGTGGAATTGGAGACAACATATCCAGATGACTAGCTATTCTCACACAATCTTTTCATACGCTAATGGCGATAAACTCCATCGAGGATAATACGCCAATCTAGAACTTTCCTAAATTTAGCTAAGCACTTCAATTCTAATCCTGGATTTAACGTTAATATCCCGATTTTGGAGTATTAGAGAAAATCAGAGATTTTCGAAAAGCACGCAGCCAAAAATTTCTGATCTCACACACGCAGTTGCGACTGAGAATCGATCTTGTGCGTTGATTTAGCATCCGTCCGGAGAACTACACGTGGTGTAGGTTTGGTTTCCCGGGCGTTCAGGCGCAGGACGACGTATAGGTGATGCCCACAGACAGTTCCAGTTCCAGCTATGCAGGGCGGGTGATTATTAACAGCTTCGATGAAGCTAGAACATTGCAAACGCCTTTCACGAAGATAGCTGCAGAGGAAACTTTAAGTACACTGACCCCACAATTATGGATGATCTGCTAAACACAATTATGGATCAGTCAGTCCAGTCTGTAACAATCCCTTTTGTTACGCCCGCTCAGCCCACAAGTGACTCTCACCACACTCTGGGTCGGCAGGGAAAAACCAAGACACATTATTTGCTTTTTGACGGCGATTTATTGTAATATTGGCCCTGACGGTCCCTAACAGCCCTATCTTTTCCTATCACGAATACTACTCACGCTTTAGGTTTGTGTGCGGTGTCAGTGTCGGGCCCGTCGATGAACGTTAGCTGGCTGGTTCCGTCACGGCTGGCACGAGGACTCCGTGCCTGGTTGGATGCTACGGACTTCTGTCTCTTTCCTTGTCGTTCACGCAAATCGTGCCAACTGCCCCGATTGCGCCGTTCGCGTCGATTACGCGGATCTGGCTTTTCCGAATATGGTGGGATGATTCGCGCCAATCGTGCCGATTGCCCCGATTGCGCCGTGTACGTCGAACACGCTTATTGTGTAGATTGCACTCGTCTGGTTTCCCACGCCGACACGTGTTACGACGGGACTACCCTCGGTGGAGCCTTGATTCGCAGCCTTATTGTGTGGCTTCGTCCACTTGATGACGGTGTCGCTTACCGTTTTATTCAAGTATGGCAGTCGATCGTTGGTCACTGAATTTTTCCACCACTTCACTTGGTTTTCTTCGAGAGCTAAGGTCTGGAAGATTTTCTGGTGCTCAAGCAAGTGACCGAGCCTCCAGACTTGCAATCCTTGAGAACCGGCGAATAGGCCTTTTACCGCGGTTGATGTAGGTAGCATCCACCCATCAGGCAGTACTACTATCAAAAATACCAGCGTTTAGGGGTGTATTGTGGGTGTGTCGTGTTGTTGAGGCTGCGTACAATACCTTCACAGTGTGTTGTGTGTGTTTTTTTAAATTTAGTCGTTAGCCGTCTATTGCCTTCTAGATTAATTTTGCATGATACCTAGTTTAAGCATTTATTTATTTGCATGAATTTTATTATTTATATAGCTTTTATATTTATTATTTTAGTTTGATTTAAGTCCCTATCTAGCTAGCTAAGGTTTTATTTATGATTTTTCCTCTATAAACGTATTTAAATCCCCATTTGTGGAAAGAATACTCTGAACTGAGTGAGCGAAGGGAGTAACTTGGCACAAGTCAGAACGTTCCATGTACTTCCTGCAAGCTTGTGAACTTTTCGACAGATCCATCAGATTCTCGAAAGTTCGGTTAGCTTCCCGGAAGTTTCGTGAACTTCTCTGAAGTCCTTGACTTTCTATAAAGTTCCGTGAACTTCAGTAAAATTCTGCGAACTTATCTGAAAACACATGAGCATTTGAGAAGTTCCGTAAACTTTTCTAAAAATATCTGAGTGAAGATGAAATTTCGTTAAGATCCGAGAGCGTCTTTAAGGTTCTTTGAGCTTATTTCAATTTTTGTGAACTTCCCTGCAATTCCATGAACCGCTCTGGTTTTTAGTCGGGAGTTCCGTAAACTTGTCGGAGTTTCCGAGAACTTGTCAGAATATCCGTGAAATTCTTGCAAGAGGTGATGTTCAGAGAACATCTTACGAGAAGCTCAAATAATTTGAAGGACAACTTCAGAGAAAAGTTTTGAGAGTATCTGATATGAATTAAGATAAATTCCGAGAAGAAGTTTTGAGGAGTTTAGACGTAAAGTGCAGAAAATTTCCAATGAGAAGATTTGATAATTTTCAATGAGAAGTGTTCAGAGAACTACTGACGAAAATTTCAGAGAATATCCGACAAAATGTTCAGAGAACTTCCAACAAGAAGTTCAGAAAACTTCTGAAGAGAAGGTCATAGAAATTCAGAGCAGAAGTTCAGAGAACTTCTGAAGATAAGTTCATAGAAATTCTGAGGAGAAATTCAGAAAGCTTCCGACGAGAAATTCTTAGAACTTCCGAAAAAAAATCTGAGAACTTCCAACGAAAAGTTCAGAGAATTTCTAAGGAGATGTTCAGAGAACTTCTGACGAGCAGTTCAGAGATGTTTTGAGAAGAAGTTTAGAGAACTTCTGAAAGGAAGTTCCTAGACAAAGTTCAGAAAAGTTCTGGGAGGAAGTTCAGAGAACTTCCGAACAAAATCTCTGAGAAGGTCTCTGAACATCTAGTCGGAAGCTCTCTGAACCTCTCCTTGGATATTCTTTGAACTTTTTGTCGGAAGTTCTCTGAACTTCTCGTCAATAGTTCTATGAACTTCTCGTCGGAACGTGTCAAAAGTTCCTTGAACTTGTCAGAAAGTTCATGAAATTGTCAGAAGTTCCGTGAACTTCTCTGAAGTTTCCTGAAGTTCAGAAAAACTTTCGAGGAGTGGATCAAAAAATATTCCACTGTAAATTCATAGAACTTCTGACGAGAAGTTCAGCGAACTTCCAACAAGAACTTCAGAGACCGACGAGATGTTCAGCTAACGTCTGAGGATAGGTTCAGAGATTTTTCGTCGAGAAATTCAGAGAGCTTCCGACTAGAAGTTTATGGAATTTCCGATGAAAAGTTCAGAGCACTTGTAGGGATAGGCTCAGAGAACTTCTGACGAGACGTTCAGAGAACTTCCGAGGAGAAGTTCAGAGTCTTTAGACAAAAAATACGAAGAGAAGTTCAAAGAATTTCCGAGGAGAAGTTCAGAGAACTTTAGACTAGAAGTTCAGATAACTTCCGACAAGAAGTTCCGAGAACTTCTTACTAGAAGTTCAGAGATCCTAAAAAAAAGTTCCGAGAACTTTCAACGAGAAGTTAAATGAAATTTCGATGAGAAGAAGAAAGAAGTTCAAAAAAAATTACGACGAAAAGTTCATAGAACTTCCGGCAAGAAGTTTAGATAACTTCCGACGAGTAATTCAGAGAACTTTCAAGGAGAAGTTCATAGAGCGTCCGACGAGAAGTTCAAAGAACTGCTGAAGAGAAGTTCAAAGAATTTCCGAGGAGAAGATCAGAGAACTTCCGACGAGAAGTTCAATGAACTTCCGACGAGATTTTTTAAAAAAACTTCTGACGAGAAGTTTAGAGTACTTCCGACAAAAACTTCAGAGACGGACGAGATGTTCAGTGAACGTCTGAGGATAGGTTCAAAGATTTTCCGACGAGAAATTCAGAGAGATTCCCACTAGAAGTTTGTAGAATTTTCGATGAAAAGTTCAGAGCACTTGTAAGGATAGGTTTAGAGAACTTCTGACAAGACGTTCAGAGAACTTCCGAGGAGAAGTTCAGAGACTTTAGACAAAAAATACGAAGAGAAGCTCAAAGAATTTCCGAGGTGAAGTTCAGAGAATTTTTGACTAGAAGTTCAGATAACTTCCGGCAAGAAGTTCCGAGAACTTCTTACTAGAGGTTCAAAGATCATCCAAGGAAAAATTCCGAATACTTCCGAAGAGAAACTCAGAGAACTTCCGTCGATAAATTCAGACGAATTCAGAGAACTGTTCAGGAAAGGTTCAGTGAATTTTCAACGAGAAGTTCAATGATATTCCAATGAGAAGTTCAGAGAAATTACGACACGAAGCTCATAGAACTTCCTTTCGAGGAAAAATTCAGGGAGCTTTCGACGAGAAGTTCAAAAAGCGTCTGACGAGAAGTTCAAAGAACTTCTGAAGATAAGTTCAAAAAATTTCCGAGGAGAAGATCAGAGAACTTGCGACGAGAAGTTCAATGAACTTCCGACGAGATTTTTTGAGAACTTCTGACGAGAAGTTTAGAGTACTTCCGACAAGAACTTCAGAGAACTTTCGACGAGAAGTTTAAACAGCTTCCGACGAGAAGTTCAAAGAATTTCTGAGGCAAAGATCAGAGAACTTCCGACGAGAACCCAGACAATCAGAATGCACGTATATTCAAAGTTGTTTTCGTGATATACAAACATATATACAAACAAATAATTCGTATATAATGCAAAGATATGGAGGCCATATACGTGCATATTTTAATTTAATTTTAAACGAGTTGATTTAACATCATATACGATTTAATCTGTAATAACAAATTCATTTTGAAAAGTCTTACGATGTAATCCGATTTAATTTGTGATACAGTACGATGGAAAAATGAGTCATCGCATATTGGTCGGAAATTTGCATTCTATACGATTTAACTTAAACATGATGCGAGGTATGCCATTCTTATATGCGATTTTGACTAAAACTGTAGCAATTTACGATACTGTCTGTACATTATTATACGACTTCTGGTTGTCTGGGAAGTTCAATGAACTTCCGTAAAGATTTTTTGAGAACTTCTGACGAGAAGTTTAGAGTACTTCCGACGAGAAGTTCAGATAACTTCCAAATAGAAGTTTTTAGAACTCTTTTTAGAACTGTTTTTTCAGTGATATCATCTGGAGACACTATTGCGACTGTGCTCTTGAAATTTTCTTTAACATATTTACTACACTGCAGCGAACGTTGAGATCCTTGTTTCGACATTTCTCGATTACTTTTTCGAAGGGACGTTCTTTTAAACAATGCATTATATCTTCTTTTGTAAACAACCCTTTGTACGTACTCTTCTCGCTTAGCGTAGGCCACCCACGCAAACCAACAGTTACATCGTGTAGGGGAAAGTTTCCATACATAGTACATAAATCTTTAATAAATTCAATACCTCAGCTCGGAGCAGGTTTGCTTCCACTCACTTGCTATAAAAAATGTTTTTTTTTTATTATGAAATCATTAGACGTTAAAATGATAATCAGTTCTTGAAAGTAACAAGAAGAGGTTGTAAAGTATGTGTTTTACTCATTAAACCTGTCAATACTAATTGCAGCGAGTCACAATTGCCGATTTTAAGATTCGTGAGCGCTCGTTCTGACTGAACGCTCACGGATAATAAACTCGCTTATTGTGACGCTCTGAAAGCGAAATTGACAGGTTTTATGAGTCATACTAATACTTTACAATCCCTTCTTGTAACTTACAAAAACAACATATTATTATAACATCTAATAAAATTCTCTGGAGAATCTAGTAAGGATATAAGGCCGATTTTCAACGCTTCCCGCTATTTTATTGAACTATACATGGATATCTTGGCTCGGAGGGATATACGATCGATAAAATGGGGCTAATCCTTTGTTAAAATTTATGGAAAATCGAATGGAACTAGTCTCGGTCACCACAAGGCTCTGTAAATGAAGTTATGGCCGATTTTACCCTGCTACCCCCTATTTTATTGAAATATGCATGGATATCATAGCTTGGAGAGATGTACGATCGATAAAATGGGGCTTATATAGTTTTTGAATATTACTGTGAAGTAGGAAAATAAGATTTTTAAGCCACCATTTCTCCCTCAATGAACATACTGACCTGGGTAAAGTTATCAAACTATTGTAGCTGATGTTGATATACTGCAGAGCGGCATTGGTTTCGAACAGCATTCCCGGTAGCGTCTCTATGCCATTCTTCGACAAATCGGATCTAAAAAGCTGCGTATGGTTCCGCAACAGATCCGGTGGTAGTACTCGCAGCTGGTTCCCCGAGAGATCCAAATTAGCCAACAGGATCAACCCCCGGAGCAAACTGTCCGGTAGAGTTTCAAGTTTGTTGGACTTGAGACTTAGGAATTTTAATTCCATCATTCCTTGGAAGCTCCTTTCGTGCAGTGATTCAATGCGATTGTCGCTCAAATCCAGGTGAGCTAGTGAGGTTAGTTTTTGGAACGTGTCTTCTGTGATACGCCGCAGTAAGTTCATGCTGACATCCAGGTGAGTGAGTTTACTTTGCGCAATGAAAAAAGTTGATGGAATTTCTTCGAGTTGGTTGTCCTTCAAGGTGAGTTCCACGAGATTGTCAAGATTCTTCAGTAGATCATTTGGTAAATGACCGTATCTTCCTCTAAGACTTAGCATTTCTAGCTTTTTCAAGTCGTTGAATGTTTCTGATGTCATATGGATAATCCTGAAATTAAGCCGAAGCGATCGCAATTCCTGAAACCCTTGAAAAAAGTTTGCCGCAAGATTGATCTCCGTGAAATTATCATATTTTATTTCAATTTCCTTCTCGTCACTTGATCCCAGCTCATCGAGCATCTGCCACAGCGTCCATGGCGATTGGTATATACAATTCCGCAAATACACCGCATTTCGCTTGCCAATGATAAACGATCTGTTCACGAACGGTTCTCCACTACATTCTATCGTCGCCGAATCTTTTCCCTTAAATCTTCCTTCGATGATGGCATTTGAAAAGTTACACTTTAGAAACAACGATAGCAATCCTTTCGTACAGTTACATTCACCGGATTTGATAACATCCTCACAGGTTGATTCTTCATTTATCACCACTTTTGCACCAATCCAGCAAAGTTCTAGCAACGCAAGCGCAAACAGTGAATTCCAAAGGTTCTTCATTCCTCTGAATATTTCGAACTGCCGGCAAGATTCTCACCGTCCTTCATGCATCGCAACGGAACTTCAACTGATAATAGACACATTATTATCACTACCGCAAACGGTGAGTGCGAATCTTCGTAACTGACTTCATACTACAATCGTAGGAACGTTATTGACTAGCGATAGTACATATTGAACCGGTTTTACAGCAACAGTCATCCGAGTGGCGCGAAGCGGTTCTTGTTCTAGTATGCAGCGGGCTAGATCAAGGATGATTATAAACATCCCGCGGCGCTTCAGTGCTCTGGGGGCTGGTCAGAGAAGTTCAGAGTGGAATATGTATGAGTGCGGCAGTAATGTCAATAATTAGCGATCATCTAGCGTCTAGCGGAGGTATACTGTTACTGTGTGGTTTGTTGATATTGTACCTACGAAAGTGGAATGCCCCGTGAGCACGTGTTTTTGCATTGCTTGGGGAATCGCAGTTCGTCTGAATATGACTGACAGCAGATTAGATTTTATTGCTATCACTAATTTGAGCGGGCAGGAATCGAGCTTGTAAAAATCAATTTCGAATATTTGGCAGCGGATGTGGCATGTGGGATAAATCATTCCTTCAAGGCGCACCAAGGTCACACGGTTGATGAATTTTTATGGTGAAGCATCACTGCGCGTATCACTTGACTCATCTTCGTGGGAATTAGTATGCACATATCCGGAAATATCAAGTCATGAAAATACATGGGAATAAAATAAATATTGCAGGATCTATATCAACAACTTGGGGCTTCTATTATCTCAGTTGGTAAAGGTGCAGCTACAAAGCAAGACCATACTGGACGTGGTTGGATTCGACTGTTTATGATTGCACTTGGCACACAATTATACTAATGCAAAAATGACATCGAAAGCTCTCAATTAGTTGCTATGGAAGTACATCTAGAACACTAAGTTGAGAGCAAGCAATAAGCTACAATACCATAAGCAATAAGCTTGAAATGCATTCAAAAAGAAGAAAATATTAATAACTTTATTGCATTGAAACCAATCGATGTTTAGCTAAGTGCTAACTTCTTCGAAATCCAAGAAAATATTGCCATATCGTTATGTTTTCAGATCTGCATGGCTTCTTTATCTTAGGGTTTGTGCCCCGGAATAAAGCTAATGGTGAAACAGAAAAGGCAGTTGCCTCACATGACGTAATAATTAATTTAAGCGTGCCAACCTGCTTTTTGTCGAACAACATATTGCCATATCAAAGCATCAACATTCGCGTGCAACAATGAATCAAATTACTTCAGTGATTGATGTCATTCCGATTCAGTAGCCTCTTTGATTGGAATCTGCAATCCTGTTGCACAGAAAGCAACAACTTCAATAAACAAAACAAAACAAATTTTGTAACACTTTCTTTCGGTGTGAGTGAAACTGATTCAATCTTAGTCAACTGATCTTGTACGGGTTGTTATTGTTTTCCTCGTCTTTGAGCAGATCAACCTGACTCGACAGTTAATTTCGCCGAACGTGCGTCCACTTGGAGTGGCGCGGCGTGATCAGTAGTGTGAAGGGAGCGTGGCAATATCCGAGGAAGCATGGAAGCGCTTTTGCTGGAAGCTGAAACAAGATTTATATCTCGCTCGCGCTAGTGGCAATAAAGTCACCACGCTGCTGCTGATGATTGGAATCGGACCGAACGAATGGCATTGGATTGCTCGGTTGCCTGAGCTAAGTTGACAACAACGATATCCAAAGTGTTTCGCATTGTTTCGGTTCTGATGGAAGAAGGGCGTGATAGCTTAAAGAGACACTGATTGCGCCGTATCATCTAAATGTGGGGAAGGAGATCAAGCGGTAATTGACTTAATAGAAAGGGAAAGTGATGTTGCTCCGGAACGACGCTGGAAAATTGCTTGGGAAAAGCAAAGGAACAATTCGCTTATCGCAGGGAAGCTATGTTACGTCATTCTCAGTTGAGAACGATTGGAAATTGGAAAGTCACCTGCAAGTGATTGTTGATGGTGGGCTGAGTTTTATAATTTTATCAGCAGTTTTTTTAGCTCCCTGCTGCTTAAAAACGGTAAAAGATAGCACTTTGAAATAATCACCAGAGAAAGATAAGATGATAAGATGTGTAGTGGTAAGCATGATTAGCTCTTACCCCAGCAGGCCTGGGTTCAATCCTAGTCGGCGCATTTTTGACGTAGGATTGCGTCTTTCAGCAACATATTGAGGGTGCAATTAAAAAAAAAGCCAAAATCGACCGCGTTACGAAAAGTGGTCAGGTTTTGACCACTAATAACTCTGTCAATAGCTGATAGGCTTTAATTCTAAACAAGTCAATCGATTGGAAATCTTCATACAAATTTGCTTAACCCTCCGTTACTTGCGCCAACTTTTGTAACACGAGTACTCGCGCGTTGTACTTTGTACAATAGTGTGAGTTTTCCATTGCAATTTTGCAGCCTAGCTACCAATCGATATGCAACCAACGGGTATTCCTTAAAAAACTTGTTTTTAACTAAACGAGCTAAACTTTTATCACAGTTAACCCCCAAAAAATGTGGATAATTGAGAAAATGTGAATGGAAACCGCGTAAACGGTGTCCGTACTACGTGGGATTTGACTTAATTGGTAACAACATGAAAAATCTTGAGATCCTGACCAGATAGAAAGTTACTGTCTCTGACAACGTTGTTCTAGAGATCATAACCTTTTTGCTGGTGGAGAGTAGTTCAGAATTTACTCACTACGTAGCGCTAGAATACATGTGAATTTATCGTATGTGATATATCTCGAGAACTTTAAATGTATACGAGCACTACCTAGTGAGAAGATTCTGAGCTACTGTTAACCAGCAAAAAGGCTACGATCTCCTGAACAGCTTTGCCGAAGACAGTAACGTTTTATCTGGTAAGGATCTAGAGATATTTTATATATGCGAGAATTTTACATGTATACTAGCGCTGCGAAGTGAGAAAACCCTGAACTACTGTCTACCAACGAAAAGGCCTTGACCTTCCGAACAACTTTGCCGAAGACAGTAACTTTATATCTGGTCAGGATCTCGAGATATTTTATATGAGAATTTCTAGTGTATACTAGCGCCGCGTATTGAGAAAATTTTGAACGATTGTGCACCAAGAAATAGGCTTTGATCTCATCAACAACTTTGCGGATGACAGTAACTTTCTATCTGGTCAGGATCTCGATATATTCCATGTTGTAATCAATTTAGTCAAATCCCACACAGTTTACGCGGTTTCCATTCACATTTTCCCATATTATCCGCATTTTTTTTAGGTATTTACTGTAATCAAAGTTTAGCTTGTTTAGATCAAAACAAGTTTTTTGAGGAATACTCGTTGGTTTCAGAACGATTGGTAACTCAGCAACAAAATGGCAATGAAAAGCTCATGTGTGTCGTACAAAGTACAACAACGCGAGTAACGGAGGGTTAAATTAACTTTTTATCAATGCACAATGGTCCAGACCCAAGTAACCAACAAGCCCGATAATCGCCTTTTTTGCAATATAAAGCTGATATACGACTGATATAAAATTTGTAAGCCTTATATTAACCTTATATTGCAAAAAAGGCGATTAGCGTGCTATTAGCGGGCATGGTGGTTACTTGGGGAATGCATATTTAGGTGGAATGATATGTTTTGAGTCTGAAAATGAAAATTTAGACTTAAAGTCTTTTCTACAAAGTTGTTCCTTATGGTTAGGTTCTCATTTTTATGACAATGAGTTCTAGGGTGGTTCTTATTATGATTAAAATCAAAAATCTAACTTTTTTGTTTGAATAAATTAAGGTATACCCAAGTAACCACCAAGCCCGCTAAATACCCGATAATCGCCCTTTTTGCGATATAAGGTAAATATAGGGTTTCCGAACTTTATATCAATCGTATAGCAGCCTAACAAACCAAAAAGGGCGATTATCGGGCTTGTTGGTTACTTGGGTACATTCTTGGGCAAAATTATAGCTGACCTAATTTAAAGCAATTTTAATAAAAAAAAACTTTTGGTGTCTCTAAAAATTGACCGATTTAGAACTATTTTCTTGAATTGAGTTACAGTGCCTCTAAAAAAACAGTTGTTTTGCTCTAGTTTTCTTATTTCAAATTTCTCAGCAAAGGTGTCTTCGAATAACTTTTCGATATTTAGAAGGCGCAAGTTTTTGCTGCACAAAACTTGTCAATATCTTACACCGATCAAGAGTTATTGACGTTTTTCTACTAAAAAGATGCCCTGTTCAAATGTTAATATCTTTGGTTGGGGCAAACAAAAAAAAAATATTTTTTTACGGCATTTGAAAGGGCGTATTGTCTCTTCTAAAAAAAAAGGATATACCCGAATATAGTAAAACATATTAATAAATTCAAATTGATTTTATACAAGTTTAAAAAATAAAACAACTTCATTTTTTTCATATTATTGAGAATAACATACGCCCTTTCAAATGCCGTAAAAAACTGTTTTTTTTTTGTTTGCCCCAACCAAAGATATTAACATTTGAAAAGGGCATATTTTAGTAGAAAAATGTCAATTATTCTTGATCGGTGTAAGATGTTATCAAGTTTTGTGCAGCAAAAATTTGCGCCTTCTGAATATCTAAAATTTATTCGAAGGTGTGCTGAGCAATTTGATATAAGAAAACTAGAGCAAAACAACAGTTTTTTTTAGAGACACTCCAACTCAATCAAAAAATAGCTCTAAATTGGCCTATTTAAGATATACAAAAAAGTTTTTTAATAAAGTTGCTTGAAATTAGCTAAGCTATAACTTTGCCGAAAAATGTATACCTTAATTTCTTCAAACAAAAAAAAGTTAGATTTTTGATTTTAATGACAATAAGAACCACCCTAGAATTGATTGTCATAAAAATGAGGGCCTAACAATAAGAAACAACTTTGTAGAAGAGATTTTTAGACTAAAGCTTCAATTTCAGGCTCAAAACATATCATTCCACAGTGCAATGTTCAATAAATTGCCTGCAAAAAGTGCTTTCCCTAACACAGATTTCAAAATCTAATTCCATCCGGTTTCAC